ATTCTTTTTCTATTTGCTTGTTATTTTGGCTTTCATTTTTATTATTTTTATGGCTTTTATCCTTTTATTCTAGTTTGCAGTTTTTTTCCTTTTTTTTTGTGTGTGAAAAAAATTAGTGAAAGCCTATTAACATGAAATCTAGTTTGAAAAATCTCGACGCGGGAAATTCAATGCTGAAAATAGTTCAGAAGTTGGACGCGCGGTTCAAGATATTAAACGTTCTGATAAAAACGAAGAAAGAAGAAAACTCATAGGTTTCTACAAGTGATGCACATCCAACATGCCACTTGTCAGTGCCTAAGAAGGTGGGAGCGTCGTGTGAAATGGATAACCCTTAATTTGTGATTTGGCGCTACAGGATCCCGACGCCGCGGTGCTACAAAAGGGCAGAACAAGCAGCATTAGCTTACCAGGTTTTAAAATAAACGATGTCGATGTTATGTTGTTAATTGGCTTAGGAAGAGAAAGGAACTAGCGATGCGGTGGAAATATGGAGTTTGTCCTCCTTGACCTCCTCGAAATTTACCCATGCCACCTGAAATGCTTCGATTAAGTGCGAGAACCTGATCATACTAACAGTTATGGATTATCTAGAAAAACAGTTATGGATCACAGCATCAGATACAAGACAATTTTTTATAAGAAATAGGATGCACATATTTTGAGTACACATATAATTATTTTTAAAATACACTGTGAACATTTTTAAAATGCGCAACATCCTTTAAAATTGATGAATAATCTTTAATACATGCCGATCCTTTCTTAAACACAAGATGAATGTTTTAAAATACATAAGGAATATTTTCAAATAAATGATAAATATTTTATTAAGACACAATAAATATTTATTTAAATAAATGATAAATATTTTGACAATTATTGATGATTTTTATTTAATATCCAACAAACTTTTTAAAATTCAGTACTCCATTCGACCCAAAATAATTGCACAACTTTAGTACAGCTTTGTACTGAAGCTGCGACAGTTAAATCAGATCGGAGGGAGGATTTCAGAATATTTAAAATATCTATCTCTATCTCTACTACTTAAAAAGAACATAAGGTTCCTATTCCACCTCTCTTTCGTTTAACCTTGTTTATATATGTCCCACTCTTTTCTTCTCCTCTTTGATTTTTTTCTCTAATTTTTGATTTTTCTCCGATCCATTCTCCCTAAAATAGAACCAATTGTCCCATGTTTTATTAACTTACTAAACAAAAACAAATTTTTTTGGTAAGTAACAATAAAATGGCAGGTAAATTATGACGATTGCATACAAAAACTTTGCTAAGATTTTAGCGCATCAATATAATAATAAATGCACAGCCACGAGCTAATCTATTAGAATGTTTATATTTCCATTGCAATGCACGGCAATTGTCTAATCAAAAGGAGAAAAAGAGATGAAACCCAAAGGTAGAAAAAAAGCATGTTATCAGATGCGCAGGACAATAGGCCCACCCTGTAGCTAAGTACAGGGTCCAGAGCTTTTTCCAGTGATCTTGTTAGCAGCAGTGCCACAAAGCCCATAAAATTAGCCCGAAAAGGCTCTCAGCCTCTCGCACTCAGTTTCGGCTGCAGCCCATCACGTGACTCGTGTAACTTCAAAATCACTAATTGACGAGTACTTATTGCAAAGATCACTCTCACCTTCTCAGCTTGCGACAAGTGGCCTGCTGAATGTGTCTCACTTGTCGCAACCTGCGAGTTTTTCCTTTTTTTCATAGATCCGTTTATTTAAAACGTTTTATCTCTTAAACCGTGCGTTCAAATCTTGAACCGTTTTCATCGTTGGATTCCTCGCGTCGAGATCTTCAAAACTAGATCCCATGTTGATGGGATTTGAGGAACTTTTTTTACACGAAAAATACCGGACGAAAAAACTGAATCGGGAGCACGGGCTTTTTCCTTTCCGAAAGAGGCACGTCCGTGCCTCTTGCGGAAGCAAAACCGCGACTCTCGTGGAAGGGAGAAAAAAAAACAGAAAACACGTTTTTTTTTGTTTTCGAGAGGCATGACCGTGACTCTCGCTAAAGCAAAACCGTGCCTCTCGCGGAAGCAAAACCGTGACTCTCGCGAAAGGAAAGAAAATAAGAAGACGGATTTTTCGTGCAATTTTTTTAAGAAAGACTGGTGAAAAACCGAAACGTCGAAAAACCAGAAAAAAAACAGTTTAAAAAACGGAAAATGCATGTGAGAAAAAAATCCGAAGGAAATGCCTAGAGCGCGACACGTGACGGGCGGCTGAGAGTACGTCAAATGACGCTGATCGTTGTGAGGCTCCAGAAGCGGCGGCCGACAGATGAGACAAGAACATCGACGCGCAGCGGCGGCCGCGATCGATCAACAATCAGTCGATCTGTCCTAGGCACGGCGGCTCGGCCAGGCGGCCGTCACGCGCCTACGCGCCTACGCGCAGCAGCGGCACGCGTACGCGGGACGCGGCACACGCCACACACTGTAATTCCCCCCGCGGAAGCAAAACCGTGCCTCTCGCGGAAGCAAAACCGTGACTCTCGCGAAAAGAAAGAAAATAAGAAGACGGATTTTTCGTGCAATTTTTTTAAGAAAGACTGGTGAAAAACCGAAACGTCGAAAAACCAGAAAAAAAACAGTTTAAAAAACGGAAAATGCATCTGTGAAAAAAATCCGAAGAAAATGCCTAGAGCGCGACACGTGACGGGCGGCTGAGAGTACGTCAAATGACGCTGATCGTTGTGAGGCTCCAGAAGCGGCGGCCGACAGATGAGACAAGAACATCGACGCGCAGCGGCGGCCGCGATCGATCAACAATCAGTCGATCTGTCCTAGGCTCGGCGGCTCGGCCAGGCGGCCGTCACGCGCCTACGCGCCTACGCGCTGCAG